ACAGTTCCTGAACACTTAGCTAGATAGGATTTTTTTTCTAATTAAAAGAGAACGCCACAAATAAAAGAGGCCACAATGTGGAACTTAAAGCAACCAGTATTTCAAATACAGTACCAGCTATATTGTCATAAAAGCATTTTTCAGTGATGTTTTTCTTGTACTTGTTAATGTACTCGTTAAGCAAGTAAGTTCCCTCTCTGAGATGTATCCAGCATGTCTTTTGGCCCATAAAAATAAGGAATCGACATTTACAATTATAATTGCAGCAGAGCTTACTGAAGTATGACACTACTGCTTGCTTGCTCCCTACAGAAGGGAAAGCAGCAGGCAATATTACTGCGTTTGTGGCAAGCAGAAAGCGTTCTTCTGAACTGAACACCTTTACGTCATGGGAATACACCAAATGTTTTGCGTGTAGATACCCTTGATAAAGGCATTGCACAATGAGGATCATCTCACTTACATATCCTGGTCATTAAAATGACTCACTGTTGCATCCAGCATCTTCTCAGATATTACACTGCCAGCCAAAGCCCAGTGTCCTTGCAATCTGTATCCAAGGTTACGGTAACTTCTACAGTGCATTGTAACAGACCACGTTCCCCGCCTTCCTTTGCGTACAGGCTAATGGACACGCTGCCTTTTGCTTTGGTTGGGTTGAATTTTATAAATGTAGCTCCTTTTCCTGCATGTATTCTTTCACTAGAAAAAAGTGAGAAACGTGGTTTTCTTTTTTTTTTTTTTTTTTTTTTTAAAATTATGTGTTCTCTGGAGCTGCCTTGGGGTTGCCTATGGGAAGTGATTTTTCTATATATTTGTGTATATTTGGAATTTTAGCAGATCATTTGCTCTGTTACTTAATGTCTATATCACTTTGCCCAGTTGTATTCCTGATGCTTCCGTGCTATCTTGGTGTGTTGCAGTTTCTCCGTGGTGGTCGGGGTGCTGGGGAGGGAGCAGACTGCCCCAGCCTATTCCCCTGCCCATCCGTTGCCGTGTTTCGGTTTATCTCCCCCAGCTTGCTGACCCGTATTGGCTGTAGCCGCTTGGGGGTTATTTGTGGCGTGGGAATTGTCACGTTCTGCACTTGACCGTCCACTGACTTTTGCTCTCTGGCAGCAGCTTCTCTTTACCTGGGTTTGTTTTGAGCAGCTCCTTCCTTGAAAACAGTGCAGTATGTATGTGAAGGGATAGTGAAGTTCGACCTAAGGTTAAGAAGCAGCTCATGAAAACCCAAGGAATGCTCTGATTTCTAGTTAGCTACATGTCAGGTTAATTAAACTTGAAACAAAAACTGCCTTTTCAATAAAAGCTGCTATTGTACAAAATACTTTTTCTGAAAGATTTTTTCGCTTTCTGGGCCTGTATTTAATTCCAGTTCTCAATATTAAAATATAAATGTCATAATTTTATGAAGAAAAGCGGTCAGAAAACTTCTCTTTAAGTTATGACTCTTTTTTCTTCCTTCTGGGTGAATGTTATTTGTCTTCTAGAAGTGGTTTTGCGATTAGTAGTTGGAGCTGTTTCGGCTTGTGCTATGTTGGAGTCACTGCTGATATTTTAAATCCAATGAGAATAAGTGTTATTAATTGACCTTAGTACATTGTTTACTCTCTTAATTCTTGCAATGCTTTAATAAATCCTTTGTTGAGATTCAAACCTTGTTTTCAATAAAGAGCTCGTTTCATATCTGACCAACCTGTGAAGTGACTTGTTCCAGCATGCAGCCAGAAAAAAAACATTGCTTTTGCTGCTTGCTGGTACCCAAAAGTTGTCATCTGCGGTCAGAGCTCCGCGGGCACCGGCCTGGGGGGCTCCTCCGCAGAAATACGTGGGCAGGGTGAAAGCTTCCCGTGACTCGGGAGAAGCCTTGAAAGGTTGACAAAAAGGGCCTTAAACATAATGAAGCTGTGTCAGTGAAACCTTCTTTGTGCCTACTATTTGAAAGATGTCTCACCGAATAACATACAAAATATTCTGCAAGCGCTTACGATATCGTCCATTTGGAAGAGCCTGTGGGGAGCAGGAAGAATGATCTTCCCCTCAAATCCAGCTGGTGTGCTCACAGCAATCCAGAGTAAACTGTGGCTCTATCTCTTCTTTGGTTTCTATAGATTTGAGGATGCATGGAAAACTGGATTTAGAGGGGCGGAAAAACAGACACTCATGCAAAATATCTTCTTAGAATGCAACGAGGACCTTTTGCAAAGAAATACCTACAAGTATTAATACTATTGTACTTCTCCATAATATAATCTCTAACGGGTATTGCAGGTGAATTCTTTATTTCATAATGTGCTTTATTAGGCAATTACATTTTTTATAGGTCTAACTTTCCTTTTTGTTTAAAAGTCAGTCTTGATGCTTTCTTGGCTGAACATTAGCATCTTCCCCTCCCCTAGGTACTAGGGCAGTGTGTGTATAAAGTGTATATATAATTATTCAAAATGGAGAATTTTTACCTTCCAGTTTTTATATAGAAAATACTGTTAAATTATACATAGTCCATTTTTTAGGTAAAGTTTAACTTTGAAAGCAGATTTCAGTTTTTAGTATTTTTTTTTCCCTTTGAAATGTCATGCTTTCAGAATGTCTCCAGACTAACGATTAGTCTTGATTTTTAATCTCCAGTTCCTTTTCTTACTTACCATTTCCCTAGCGCAGTTTAACTCATGATAAAAATAGAGTGATGAGTAGAGTGTATTTTTTTAAATGGATAGTTAGTCTCCTGTGTCTGCTTGTTTGTCACTGAAACCGGGGCCAAGAGACACAACCATGAAACCTGAACCGCACGCAGCTGATGGCAAAGCTCACTTTTGTTTCAGTGGGCCAAAACGTCATTCCTGCAACAGGAGCAGACCTCCCCCTGCCCGCGCGGGACCGCGCTTTGTGCTTGTGATACTGAAGGACAGCGAGATCCACGAGTTGATGTTGTTGGAAAAAATGGTGTTGAAGTATTTGGGGGTTTTATGTGCAGTTTTGTCTAAGTGCCTCCTGGGTAACGGGTAAAAGAAGGGTTTGCAGGGGGAACGGGCTCTGTATAAGTGAACGGGCTATATGCAAGTGCACACAGGAAACGTCTTTCGGGCTTCGGAGGCCCTTGCAGTGAGGAGGGATTTGCAGTAACTCTCTCACAGTGGCGTCTCCATGCGCAGGTGTGGCATTAACGCAGTTTGTTGAACCTATGGCCAACCTCGTGACCTCCCTGTCCATAGGGGTTCAGAGCGCTCGCGCGTGCCACCAAGCCCCCCCTAAGTGGCCTTGGGCCTCATTTAAAGTCTGTGAACTTCTACAGCAGTCCTCCCTGACCTTGCTGGACCTCTAACTGGAGCCTGGAAATTACCGAGCACCGTTTCCTTCCCGGGGTGAGTAACTTCAAGCAAGTGGCATTTGCCCCGACTGGTAAAACTCTCATCTCTGCAGTAAATTTGAAACCTGACTTCTGGGTCGGAGCTGATCAAAGCCTCCATATCAAATTCACTCTGATCTAGACTTTTATTCCAACCAGGTCTGGTTTTACTCCTGATCCAAATGAGGTTGAGGCCATTTGTGCAGTTTTGTACCAGTGATAACTGTATTTCAGCCCTAGTGGCTTTTAGTCTGGGGAAACCAGAAACCTACTTGTGCTGCAATCCTCACGCAGCGTGGTTCAGCTTGGAGAAAACCTTTAACCGTCTCTACTGTTCCTTAAAACCTCAGCTGTTCAGCTGGGACTTCAGAAGATAAAAATTTTGAAATAGCCAAATAAATTGCCTGGCTTTTGTGATGAGGACCAGGAATTGCGGGACACCTGGATGGACTGCAAACCAATTAGCCAAGTGAGGGGAACAGATCACAGTATTTTTCTCAAGACCGAGGTCCAGATTTGTTTAAGGCCACTGCTCAGTATTACACCATGTTCTCGCTGTTACTTGAGATACATTAGCACAGTTCTGAATAGGAAACCAACACATGTTCTTATTTAATCTTTATTGATTTTTTTTTTTTTACAAGTATAGAATCTCATTTAAATCAGATAGCTATCTCGGCATCCAGCAATCTGCGTATTCCTCCTTCAGAGATGCAACAGAGGACACAAACGTCTCATCGAGGAACGGACTTGCCTTGCTTTCCTGGTGGTCCAGTTACGCTCTAACGAAACCAGTCCCTTCCCATCTGCAGGGAGGGGAGCGACGTCCAGGAGGCAGCGGCTACGCCACGGAAAGGCTTCTCCCACGTCGGGTTGGAATCGTTCTCGTCGCATACAGAACAAGACAAAGCCTTCTCCGTAAAGCCATCCTTGTCCGGGAGGTTGAACAGATCGCCATTTTGCGCAGAATAATTCTAGAATGCAACATAACCTTGAGGATGTAATGAAGTGATTTAGAAATGGGCTAAGGCAGATCACGACCATACTTAGAGCTAAGTAATCAAGCAGTTTTACCTACTTCCAATTTACTGGTTGATTGAATATTAGAAAACAGCCCAGCCCCTTTGGAAGGTGGCCATGCACACCCAGTTTCCTAAATGTTTCTTTGGCTGTCCAGTGCGGGGAGGGTTAACCTCTCGCTCTGTCTTGAGCCCCGTTTGGACAAGATCTCCGATTACTTTCCACCCACAAAAACCACCAGCATTTTTCAGTAGTGTAAGTGTATTACAGGACTGTTGCCCTGGCACGGAATGAGTGAAAAAGGATCTTGTATTTAATTGATTTGAATAATTCAAATTTTATTTTACTTGTGGCCGACACGGACTGACTTCACTTTTTTTTTTTTTTTTTTTTTTGACTTTTAATACAGGTTAAGAGCTGACTAAAGATCTCAAACACTATATACTGAGAGTCACTACAGATGTTAAGGAGAACGCCAGCACTAGCACCACAGCCCTGCAGCCTGCCTTCCTGGCTCTTGGAAGAACCCACTGCCTTAGAGTAGGACCTTGCTCGTTCTGTGCTAGTGCCGCTCCCTAGCCACTACAGGATTTTGCAAGGAAGCAAACAAGCTATTAACGAAATATCCAGGCTACCGCACCACAAAGCGCACTTTGTTCATTAACTCTGCCAAATGCCTTTTAGGCCTTTCCTCATAGGATACTAATAAACTGACTAAAAAAGGGAGGGAGGCTTTATGAAAGGAATAAACTTATAAGGAGAGCTCATTCTGCTAAATCAGAGAAATGCGGATGGGGGAATCCCTGTAGAGAGAAATGCTTTGAAGGGAATCGTTGGCCTTGCAGGTTAGTGAGGTGAGAATTAGTTGAGGTTCTGCTGTATGGTAAAGAACCAAAGTTGGCTGTAGAAGGAGAAGGGAATGTCTCCAGTCTGGTCGACTCAGAACAGCGCGTCCCTTCTGTTGTGCTTCCTGTCTGCAGTCACATTAAATTCCCCAGTAAGGCATCCTCTCTCTCTCATAAATGTCTGGGATGATGCCGTATGGTGTTTGTACCATTTTAACCGTCGTCTTCCCAAAGAGCTTCCTCTCGTAGTCTATCAGTTGCCTCCAGAAGCCCACGTTGGGGCGTATAACGGGGCGTCTCGATTTGACCCAGTTGTATGCCTCAAAGAGGGACACCTTGTGGTATTTCATCAGGTAGGCGATGCAGAGGGTGGCCGACCTGCTCACGCCGGCGGCACAATGGACTAAGGTGGCCCCGTGCTTCCGCGCCACGCTGTTTATCTTGTCGGCAACGCTGTCGAAGTACAGGGAGATGGGGGCATTGGGCATGTCAGCCAAAGGCACTTTCACGTATTCAAACTGGGGCCAGTTAAAATTGGGAATCTCGATGGTCGCATTGATTATGCAGGTGATTCCTCGGGACAGGAGCAGGTGCCGGTTGGAGGCGACGCTGCCCCGGCTCAGGTACAGCGAGGGGGTGATTTGGGCGATGCCCCCAAGGGCACTTTCGGAAAGCATTCGTGGAGCCATCAGAGTTCTCGGTAAGGAGTTGTGGCTTCTGGAGGTCATGGAGGATCTTGGCGCTCACGCT